GGCTGGTACCTCCCTCCTGGCTCGGTGCTGCTGAGGTCCCCAACCAGCGCTGCCATGTCTGGAGCAGCAAAGGGCAATTCCCGGAGATGTTTTTGTTGACGTGATTTGCTCATGGGCTCTGAGAGCTGGTTGTGTCCATGAGCTGCAGGTCAAGAACTGCAAAGCAATTCTGTGCCCATAGCTGTTGCTCTCGTGACAGGACGCGTGGGTGCAACCCCACCACAGCACCTTCCACGCAGCACCGGGTGGTTGGTGCTTTATCTACCCCAGGCTGTCAGCCCAGGTGCTCACCTCCCTGCTGCACTGAGCCACGGGTGTAAACCTCCTGATTTCGGGACAAAGCTGAGACCTGGCCAGGTTGATACAGCAGTGACCAGACCCTGCTGGAGGAAATGGTTTGCAGTGAGCGGGTTGCAATAAAATGCAACAAGCGCCTGCAAAACCAATCTAATGAAGCAACCCCGACGCGGCAGCCGCGTTTAGAGGCTCTGAGCCGCGGGCTGGCCGTCGTGCCGCTCGCTTGGTGGCTGCCAGGGGTGAGCAAACCCGTCCGTGCACCATCTCCTTGCACCGCACTAACCCCTCGGCTCTGCCCCCCAGCTGGTACTTCAGCAAGATCAGCCGAAACGAAGCCGAGCAGCTCCTCCTCTCGCCTCCCAACCAGCACGGCTCCTTCCTCGTCCGGGACAGCGAGAGCAGCAAGGGCGAGTACTCTCTCTCAGGTAATTTTGTGGCAATTATCCAGAGAAAATGAGCACAGGGAAAGGAACCAGGCAGTTCCTTAGGGGCAGCTACTGGCTTGGTCAGCGTGGGGTGAAAAACACAGAAATATATTTAAAGCGCTTTACGGCATCTTGTTAAAGTGAATTGACTGCTTTTTAAAAGCATGGGGAAAGCTAATAGATGCAGGTATGGATTGCCGAATTGCTGTGGCAAAGGAAAGTACGTCGCTCCCGTCCGGGGTATGAAAGCCCTAAACAATTCACAGTGGCTTAATGATGGTTTCTTAGCACTAACTCCCAGGATTTCATTCCAGCGGCTTCTGTCATCTGAGGGTTGTCTAAAAATATGCCACCGCTCCAGGCTGCCAGAGCCTGGGCTGCTCCCACGTACAGAAATCTGAATTCAGGGAGTTTCGGACCAGGCAGTGCCGTTACGACCTGGTCCGATCCACGTAAAAACAACCTTGAGAAATTCGCGGCGAACCCCGCATCCCACCCCTCGGCCCCCGGGCTGCGGCATGCCTGCAGGAGCTCCAGCCGCCGCTGGTTTCTCCACCTCGAGCAGCCGCGCGCTCTGCCGCTCTCCGAGCAGTTCGTTTGCGTGGGGAATTATCCCTGCTAATAAAGCATCACGTCTCCAGTCCAACTGAGCCCCCTCACCTGCGGCCAGGAGTCTCCTGAGCCAGGAGGTGGGAGCAAAGGGGGTGACGGGGAGTGGGATGTAATACCCCAGGGGCGAGTTGGGTTGCTTTAGGGTGAATTAATAGACCAGGTGCCTGGAAAGGAGAGAGGGTGAGAGTCAGCAGGGAGGTGGGAAGGAGCCGGCGATTGCACGAGCTGAGTTTTCCCCCGCCCGGGCTTCCCCGCAGTGCGCAACCACGCGAAGGTCAGCCACTTCCGAATCTGCAAGAGCCCCGGGGGCAGCCTCTACATACAGAAGGGCCATCCCTTCCCCGACATGGAGGAGCTCCTCGCCTTCTACACCAAGCACTGGAAGGTCATCCAGAGCCCCTTGCTGCAGCCCTGCAGCCCCGCGGTGCGTACAGCGACGGCGCGGCTCGGCCAAGGTCCCAAAGATGTCCAGGGTAGAAAAAAGGAAAGAGAAATTAAGGGAAAATAGAAATAATTGGTCTATCCATTTGGGAGTTTATTAAGCTAAACTTAAAATACACCATTAGTATAGCTGCCAGCATCACCTTGTATCAGCCATGTTAAGGCTGGGGCATGGCATTTATATGTATTTTTGACTGGCCAAAATGCACGGGCTTTTCTGAAATGTCTTCTCCACATCGAAGACTAGAAACCACGTTGTTGCAAATCCCTTTGATACTGAATCTGGAAATACCTGCGCTTCCAATTTTTTTCCGAGAGTATAGTAAAACCACATTGCTTTTCTATAGTTTTCATGTCACTTAGTGTGGCACTCATAAATCCAATTAGAGTATTAATCCCAAACTGCCAACCCATTTCCTGATTAGAATTCCATCCACCAATTATGACTTAGAAATAACAATTAAACGTGAATAATTCGAGAGTGAAATTGAAAGGTGTAAGATAAAAGAAATGCTTAATGAGCTGAAGTCTAAATCAGCCATAATATGCAGTAATACTCATTTGCTCGTTGTTATTTATTGGTGGAAACGGAGAAAAGCCACCTTTGAGGTCTGATGAGGAGTGAATTATGACTTGAATTCCTGATATTTCATGTAGTCCCCAAAAATCTCTCCCCCTGCACACGTTGGCTCCCAGCAGAGGTAATGCAGAGGATGCCCCACATGCTTTGTGCCCCCGATGGACATTTAGCAGAGGGAAAAGCAATGCACAGGCTGCAACACCAGTGCAATGCAGGTGGTGGAGCACCATGTCCTGCTCACTCCTCCGTGGCCACCGGGCCTTGGTGGGCACCAAGAGCTGGTGCAGGCTCCACCAGCAGGTCCTGCCCGGCCGGCTGGTCCAAGTGTGCGATGCCCGTTTCACAGACCCCCCCCGAGAGGGACGGCTGGGAGCGCCCGCGCTGGGAGTTCACCCTGCGGAGGAAGCTGGGCGAGGGCTACTTCGGAGAGGTGTGGGAAGGACTGTGGAGGAACACAGTGCCGGTGGCCATCAAGATCATAAAAGGTAGGTGGAGGAGCAGATGTTAATGGTGGCCTACAGGGTCTCTTGTTCACTGCCACATTGTTCACCCCTTTTTGTTTCCTAGTCCTCTTGGTCACTGTGTCTGTCTTATCAAGCAAACTGTGGTAGGACCTGGCAAGTAGCCACTGCACTACTTCTGTGTACCCACCTAAGCTTGGGCTTCACCTTATTAAAATGGCTCCGTCCAGTGGGTTTGTGATAAGTCACATCAAGTCAAGTCCAATGGGTTTGTGATAAGTCAAGTCCTGATGGGACTATGACCCTGAAAATGGAATCCAAAGCCCCATGGAAAACATCTCTTGGGTGTTTGGATCTGAGACACAGGGTATGCAGACACAAACTTTGAGAGCAGGGGCGGGCTGTGAGGAGGAAAAAGGTCCTCATCCCAGTTGGAGTTGCTGAGCTCCCAACATCCACCTGAAAAAGTAGCTCACAAACAGCCGTGTTGGCTTCTCCCCCAGCTGACATGAAGGCAGAAGACTTCACCAAGGAGATTCAGAACCTGAAGCGCCTGAGGCATGAGAAGCTGATCCAGCTGCACGCTGTCTGCTCGCTGGATGAGCCCGTGTACATCATCACTGAGCTCATGCGGAAAGGCAACCTCCACAGCTACCTCAACAGTGAGTACCCATGCGGCATCGTGGGGAGTGGGCTCCTGGGGCAGCGCTGCTCTGCAGGTGCTTTCCATGCCCTGGAATGGCCCTACGAACCCAAATGAGGACCCTAAGAGAGAGTGAGCCTGGTTTCCATCCTGCTTAGATCAGTGGTAATGCAGAACAATCCAAGGGCACTTGGTGGACGTGGTCTTGGGTGACCTCAAGACCCAAAGATGCAGTCTGGCGTGATCCTTTTGGTGTCCATGTGGGTTGGGTCCCTATCCGTTCCTGCGAGCCCAGCTGTGCTGGTAGGGACCTTCATTTCTCCTTCTTCACCCACCCATGGGCTGCCAGCTCCCATCAGTGGACAGAAACCTCTCTGCTGTATTTGGGCAACTCTGTCTTCGTTAGGAATGAAATGGTCAAACCTCCCCCTGGGCCCGGCGGCATGGTTTTGTTCACCTGCAGAGCTGGTAACAGGCCATGGTCCACCCATCACCTGGCCATCAGTTTATTTTTCTTGGCCTTTCTTTACCTGACCCAGTAATCAGTCTTGAAGGGAAACGAGACAAACAGCTCCCACCAAGACCTGTTTTTCTACTGGGTACACCCCCCTCCTCCCCCACACTGACCTCATTTTCGGTTGGGGCTCCAGCAGCATTTGGTGCCGGAGGAGCTGGAGCTTGCAGGTAGGACGGGTTGAAAGGCTCGGCTGGAGATTTGCATGGTAGAAGGTCACCTTTAGCTTTGAACGAGCCACAGACATCTGCGTCGTCACTGCAGTGCAGGGCACTCTTCAGAGCTCACTCCAGCCTACTCCTGAGGAGCACACGGCTGTGCTGAACTTCCCACATGGCACAACCAGGATGGTTAGGCAGGACCTCCAATTTGAGGTTTTACACGTTCTTCTGGTCCCATGTTGCCAGCACAGGGTCTCCTTCCAAACCAGAACACCCAAAATAGATGTTGCTAGATTGCGCCCAATGCTTGGATCGTCTGGATTAACAGGTCCTGAAGGGAAGTCCCTGGTCACCTCCCACCTGCTCAACATTGCCTGCCAAGTGGCGGATGGGATGAGGTACCTGGAGGAGAAGCACATTGTCCACCGGGACCTGGCAGCCAGAAACATCCTGGTGGGAGAGGAACTCACCTGCAAAATCGCCGATTTTGGACTTGCCCGGCTCCTCAAGGTTGGTCAGTGGGATGCTGTGGTCCCTCCCATCACCTAGGCCACCAAGCTGCCCCATGCCGCAGCCGTTCCCCCGCTGTCCCTTTTCCCAGCCCGCAGCCCCAGCAAAGCCCCAAAAGCAGCGGCTGTGTTCGTCATACCATCCCTCATGACCCATCTCCCATTGCTTTTCAGGATGACATTTATTCCACCAGCAGCAGCACCAAAATCCCAGTGAAGTGGACAGCCCCGGAGGCAGCCAACTACCGCACCTACTCCCTCAAGTCCGATGTCTGGTCCTACGGGATTCTGCTCTACGAAGTCTTCACATACGGACAGATCCCGTACGAAGGTAGGGCTGCCAGCCCCCTCCAGCACCGCTCCGTCCACACGCCGGGCAGCTTGCCCATGGTCCCCAAAAGCCAATGTGTCATGAGTTGTTATATTGTCCCTTCCACAAGGGATGTGGAAGCAGCTCCTAGAGCATGAGCAAGTTATTGTCCACTTTGGGGATTGCTTAGAGGGATTTTCAGTGCTTGCAGAGTGGGTGCAGGAGCTGGGGACAGGAAGGTAGTATGGACTGGATGATCTCCCACAGCCCCTCCTCTACCAGCCTCATGGCAGAGAGACACCATTTCACAGCAGCGCCAGTTGACATCTTGGCCTGCTGCAGGTGTACCTTCAGGGCATCCTTTGGGGACATTAGATTCAGGGGCATCTTCTCCTTCCTTGCAGGAATGACAAACCAAGAAACCGTACGGCAAATCACCAGGGGCTACCGCCTTCCCCGGCCCAGCTCCTGCCCTCCCGAGATCTACAGCATCATGCTGGAGTGCTGGAGCGGTAACACGGAGGAGCGTCCTACCTTCCTGGCCCTGCGGGAGAAGCTGGGCTTCATCTACAGACGGCTGCTGAGCTCCCTCTCCTGAGGGATCCCGTCCCACCATCCTTCCTGCACAAGCCTCTCCAGGCCAGCTCTTGCCAAGAGGCTCCTTCCTTCTGGTTTGCCCTCTGACAGGGCTCCAAGGAAAGCACATCCCCCCCAAAACCAGCCCATGGTCCCTCTCGGTCAGGATGCAGGGAGGTGGCCAAGGGAAAAGGTAACGAGTTGTGGAGAACTCATTGCTGGCGCTTGGCTGTGTAGCAGTCTGGAAAAGCCCCGTGGTAGTGAAGGCATCACCCAGAGTTTACATCTTCATTCAGCCAGTAGGGTGGGAGGTCCCTGCCGCTCCCCACGCCGACGTGAAGGTTTGCAGTTTGTGTTCAGTTGTGGCTCCGCTTGATTTTTCTTTGTATTGTGTGTCCGGTGTATTTATCAATAAATGTGTGTGCATCCATCCACGGGAGTCCTTGCAGGGCATCGCTGGTTGCTCTGCCCTCACCACGCTCCTCTCCTGCCCAGGAAGCAATGGTTTGCAACCAGTCCCACTCTTGCAACCACAGATAGAATCATCTTCATGCCTTTTTGGTCTCTGTTCCTCCAGGTGTGCATTACACTGTGTGCCTTTGCCACCCCTTTCCCAGGCAGCCGCCCTGCTTGCCCCGAGGACCCTGCACAGGCAGCTCCCGCCCGGGCTGCTCTGCTCTGGCTCCTTGTCTTGCTCACCGTCGTGTGGTTATTCCAACAAAAACGTATGTCTGGGTTCAAATATTTAATGCATGCTTAGCCCAGGTGCAGGCAGTGCTCAGTAAAACACTGCTTCACCCAGTTTTGCTCTTCATCACAGCCATGGTGCAAAGCCAAGAGATGCTCCCATCACCCCCAGCTCCTCACCAAGCCCCTCTCGCTGGTCCTGGGGGACGGCAGTACAGGAGGACCTTGAGCCTCCTGTCCCCCCCAAGCTGGGGGGGATGTTTGCTCTGGCCGAGCACCTTTTGCGTCCCCATTCACTCTCTCAGAGGCCGGGCTGTCCTTGGCAGCGGTGGAAGGACTCACTGGAAGCAGCACCAGGAGCAGTGCCACGGGGACAGTGCCAGGGGACAGTGCCCCGGCCCCCCCGGGCTGGCCCGAGCGGGGCTGCTCGAGCACTGGCACGCTCGGGGCACCGGTGGCAGGGAGCATGTCCATGGGTGAAGGGCGGCTGGGGCTGCCTGGGTTTAGGTTTCCTCCTGCCAAGCCCATTTTGCCTGTTTGCAGGAGAAGGGGTGACCAGTAGGACTGAAACAACAGCAGGGTTGGAATATATAAAGTTAATAAAGTTTATGCAATACTCTCCCTGTCTGAGCAGCACCCGTGCTCTGCAAAATAGCAGAAACGAGTCTGGCTGTTAATTGAGCGCGTCTGCGTGCACGAGGGGCCTGGAAAGGGGAGGTGAGAAATGTGGTTTAGGGGTGTGATAAATTCTGATCCAGCCACGCTTCCTCTGAAGCTTGAGCCCTCCGGAGCTGCGGCCATGCCCCGGGAAGGGGCAGCTCGGGGGTAGAGTGTTCACAGCTGGAAAAAGGAACAGGTTGGGTTTGCTGTGGTGTTTGGACGGGGTTGCAAGAAGAAACCCTTGTCTCGCAAAACGTTTTGCAGCGCGATCAAACACCCAAGCGGAGAGCACACGTACGCACAGCCCAGGTCCCCTCCTACGAGAAACTAAAGACCGAAGCCGTGACGGGCAGGTGATGGATTTATTGCACGGCAAGAAAGGGCTGGGACACGCGTGGTGCAGGCACGGCAGGGCTGTTGCAGCAATAAAGATATTAAATTTGCAGGTCTGGCTGCCAGCAGATGGAGCTAAAAAATTAAGCAGGAGGAGAAGGGTGTGCGTGGGGTGACCGGGGCGGTGGGGCTGGCATAGGGAGCAGCGGTGCATGGCCGGGGTCCCTCGAGAAGGGGGTGACAGCACCCCCCCCTGCCTGCACCAGCCCCATCACACTGTGGCCCCAAAGCAGCTCGCTCTGCTGCAGCAATGCCATGATGGGTGGTGTGGAGGGGGACATGGCGCTGCCCACAGCTGCTTTTCCTTCCTCCTCCACAGCTTCATTAAAAGCCGATCTGCTGCTTGGGTTTGCCCTCCAGCACGGTCTGCTGGGTTTCAGCATTTCTCTGAGTCATTACTTGCTTTCTAAAAGCAGTCAGAGTTGCGGGGGGGGAGCCTGGATTTTCTTACCTTCTCCCAGGATCTCAGCCTGGGCTGGGCACTGCAGCTCCCCACAGAATCGGGGCTGCTACGGGGACTGGGCTCTTCCCGAAATCCATCCCACAAAGGCAGAGCTGCCGGGGCCCCAGTCCTTTCTGAACCCCTCCGGGGTGGGCATTGCAAATCCTGTTGTTAAAGGCATTCGCCTGCTCTGGTTTCAGCCTGGCATGTGCCCTGTTTGTGGATCCAACTTGTCCGAGTGGCATTTGAAAACAACGTCAGGCTAATGCGACGTATTTGCGCTGCACAGTTTGTTTCTATTTTTAAGGTCCCACATTGGCCTTTGAAGGGTGAGGGGGAAGCAAAGCTGCTGGAGATTAAAAAAAAACAAATTCCCCAAGCAACAAGAGGCAGGCAATGAAAAGAAATATTCCTCATGCCGGGGGCTGCTGCAAGAGCTCCTCCAAGGGCGGCGGGGTGGCACGAGGGCGGCTGCAAGAGCCAAGAGCGAGTGGAAAGCACCGGCTATTTTTTTCCCCCAATATGTGAGTTAATCAACAGTCAAAACGCGGCGTCTCGTCCAGCGGCACGAGGCAGTGGCAGGGGAGCAGAGGAGGGGACGTCCGTCCCCCGTGGGGGTTGGTGCCGTGGGAGGTGGGTGCTGGCCCCTCCTAGCAAGCCCAATGGCAAAGGGGAGGATGCTTAGGGACGGGTATGGTATATAAAGAGCCCCTTTGCTTGTCTCGCATCTGTTGCCCAATGAATCCCTTGCTGCCCCATCGCACCGATGACCCAAGACACGGGAAATCAGCTGGCAACAGCAGTGGGGATGGAAAGAGCACAAAAATAAACGTGCTTGGCTGTCAAATGCTTTTCCTAAGCACAGCTGAGTGCCATAAGAAAGGCCCCACAAACAGCAGGCACCCAAAGCAACCGAGGCGCGGCCGAGGTCTTTGCGCCTGGCCATGGCATGAAGCTTCCTGGCGGCACAGTCTGGAGGGACCGGGGTCTCCCTGGTTTTTCTCCCTTTTTTTGGCCCCCAGCAGAGCAGCAGCGCGAGCCTGTGAGACTTTGCAGACATTCAGAAAAAAACCCTTTAATTCAGCAGGGCTTTTTCAGGCAGTTTTGCTCCACTGGACAGGGAGCCCCTGGCATCGGGGCAGCCACTCACTGATGCTGCGGTCCCTGCTGTAAATCCAACCTGCCTTGCAGCAACGTGGGAACGAGCTTAACCTCCATGCAGCACCCAAAAACGGTATGGAGGAGCGTCAACGTGCTGGTGGCATTGCAGCAGGCAGCCGGAGCAGCTCACCCAGAGCTGGGTCAGGCCGGGGAAAGTGCCCAGCTGAAAACCAGGGACGCCAGGATTGGTGCCTTTGCTCTGCCACAGCCTCCCGCGGGTGCCTGGGGACAGTTGCGATCACGAGACCAACAAGCAAATACGGCCGGCAATATTGACTTTCCCTTTGTGTATCCACACTTTAATCTGCAGCCCCTGAGGCTGCAGGCTTGGAAAAAATATTCCTCTCTCCAAAATCTGGGGCTTCTACTGGGAACCAGCAGCAGATGAGACCCCACTGCTCCCCCGAGGCATCCCGGGGGCGAGCAGCAGCCAGAGGGGTTTGCCGGGGGCATGGGAAGACTCTGGAGCAGAGCTTGCTGGTATGAGCCAGTGCCACAGCCACCCTTCCCAGCTCACCAGCCAGACAGCACGCCTCATCTTGTCTTACTCAGAAAGGATTCTTTGGTTTTTTTGCTTGATTTTGATGTATTTTGTAAGTTTAAAGGCTGCCACGTGCCTCCCTGTGATACACAGCCACATGCATGTGGGTGCAGCCCCCCCCAGCAGTGCCCCGCACCAGCAGTTTGCTGCCTGGCTGGAAGTCACGTCAGATCAGCTGTGGTGTGATGATGTGCCACCATGGACTCGGAGGGGAGGTCCCAGTTCTCCCCCGCCCCTCCTAGGGACAGGGGGGACAGAGACCCTCCACCCTGAGGACAAGGACCGCCTGGAGATGCAGAGCTCAGGGCAAAGTTTACACAACATTTTTCCCTACCAGAAACAAGGAGCAAAGCTGGAAGTGACCCTGGATGCCTCTGCAGCGCTGACAAAAAGCAGAGCAGCCACCTCCCCCCCAGCTGCTGCCTGGGCCAGCCCCTCCTAGGGACAGGGGGGACAGAGACCCTCCACCCTGAGGACAAGGACCGCCTGGAGATGCAGAGCTCAGGGCAAAGTTTACACAACATTTTTCCCTACCAGAAACAAGGAGCAAAGCTGGAAGTGACCCTGGATGCCTCTGCAGCGCTGACAAAAAGCAGAGCAGCCACCTCCCCCCCAGCTGCTGCCTGGGCCAGGCAGCCAGGAGCTGCCCGAGCACAGCTTTGCCCTTCGCCCCTGCCTGCGCGGGATGCCGGAGGGACAAAGTCACCACTCAGGGGTCCCGCAGCCCCTGGCTGCCACCGGGGCTGCAGCACTTGGTGCATGCAGGGACTGCCCCGTATCTCATGGTGGGGCTGAAAGCAGACCACGGCTGGAAGATTTGGCATCTTTAAATCCACCCCTGCCAGGGTTTTGTTTGCCTCCAGCAGGAACGGGGTGCATGCAGGCACCTGCGGGCTCTTGTTTTCTCAGTGCTTTATTGAGCAGCATTGCCCAGCTATCAGGCTGATCACAGATGGGCCAAACAGCCAAGCTGACTAAGTCAAGGCAAAAATCAGCCAAAACACCACTTAGGGCAGTACAGCACATGGGCCAGCCGGGCTCCAGGGCTGCCCAGCCCCGTGCACCCCCTGAGCTGCCATCCACGCCACAAGCTCCAGCCTGCCATCAGACCCATGAAATGCAAGCCCTTAGCAAACCTCCTCTCTCCCTTCGGTATGGAGGGCTCACTCTGCACCCAAACCCTTCCCCCAGCCCTGAGCAGACCCGGCTCAGACCCAGGCACTCGCTCCTACCCCAGGAGGCACCGGAGCAGGGCAGGGTGCACCCCCTGAGCTGCCATCCACGCCACAAGCTCCAGCCTGCCATCAGACCCATGAAATGCAAGCCCTTAGCAAACCTCCTCTCTCCCTTCGGTATGGAGGGCTCACTCTGCACCCAAACCCTTCCCCCAGCCCTGAGCAGACCCGGCTCAGACCCAGGCACTCGCTCCTACCCCAGGAGGCACCGGAGCAGGGCAGGGCAGGGCAGCAATGTGCTCAGGGAGCAGAGCGAGTTCAGCGCCAGCAGGGACAGGCTGTGCAGCCAAGTAAGGAAGAAAGGGTGGGGGAGGCATTTGCAGCATTGCTGCAGCTAAGCCTGATCTTGCTCACATGCAAACCACACACGTACTGGTGAGTCACTGGCACTACCGTGCCACCCGGCGTCACCGGACCCCGCTGGAAGTGCTGCGGTCGGACGCTGCACCGTGTCCCGGTCTGACCCCACCAACATCCGCAGCACTGCTCTGCTCTCCCACCCCGGATGAAAAACAACCCGCAGGGTTTTAAAAGGCTGCTTGACTTTATTAGTTGCCATTGTACGAGTACAAGGTAAATAAAACGTGTTACCGAGCCTGCGCGGAAAGGGAGTAGCTGCGTTAAGAAAGAGTAAAAAGGCTGGTGTAGGAATCGTCGGGGGTTTTGCCACACTTTTTTTATTACAAAGCAGCACCTTTGCCTTGGAGCAGCCTGCCTACTCTACGGGGGGGAAGGGGCTGTGCCCGCCAGCGTGGGGAGCAGCCGCCGACTCGCTCATGCTGAGGTCCCGGAGCTGGGCTCGCTGGCGTGGCGCCTCCGTCCCGCTCCTGGGGCCGGCACTAAGCCACATGCCATCGGTCCTGTTGTCACCTGCAGCGCTCCCAAGCTGCAAGACAGCAGAGAAAGGGTCAGGCTGACACCGAGGCGTTTCGTCGCTCTGCATTTATTTCCGCAGTAAAGGAGTTGGTGCCTTGGGCATGAAGATGTCACCCATCGGGTCAGGACGCACCTCAGGGGACGCAGCAGGGATGCCCCCCATTGCCCTGGGTGCTGCATTGGCACTCCCCCACATCATCTCATCCACGGAAAGCACTCACCTCTCCGGGGACTCCGACACGGTCGTCATGGCCGGGTGAGTTGTCTTCCCGAAGAAGAAGCTGGCCCACCAGTGGCCGGGGTCGGACTTGGGCAGACCTGGGGGACAGTGCGTGCCAGGGCATGTCTGGGTCAGTACAAGCCGGGCAGCCGTGCTACCACCCTGGTCTCATCCCACAGGAGAGGCTGGGTCACCTCCAGTAAGATTTGCAGTGGAGGGGCCGGGAGCAGAGTCCCCCCGCGGCCCCACGCTGAGATGGGTGGCACTTACCTGGCGGGTGGGGGATGACCTCCCCAGAGTACTCCGAGCTGCCGCAGGAGCTGTTGCTGGATGTGGAGCTCAGGCGCCCTGCAAAGAAATCATGGCCATCAGAGCCACCACTGACCCTTGGTTGTGCCGTGAAAAGCAGAGCACAGCCTTGATGTGGCCGTCCCTGGGGTGACACGGCTCAGTCTCATGACTATCTCGCTCCAGTACCTGCCCAGCTTTAGCGCCAAGTCAATAAAAACCACTAGGGAGGAAATACTGGCAAGATTACAAGCTGGCCAAGACAGGTAGCCGAAAAGCACCTGAAGATCTCTGTAGCAAAACACTTGCAACCCCAAAGACATTATTTAATGGCTTTGCATCTGTATGCAACACTTGGGAGGCTTTTGCAGATGACTTGAGGCCAAGAGGCTGCAGATTCCTGCATATAATCCATGCAGTTTTAGTCCAACTGCTAGAAGCCTGTTACTAGTTTCAGCTCAAGGGGAATACTTTATTTCCCTCTCGTTTAGGCAATCCCTTAAACCAGAAAGTCTCTCCCCTGGAGATGTACCAGTAGCTGCCATCGCCCAGACTGGTTTTGCAGCTCATTTCCACAGCAACAGTGCAAGATGCATTTGAAGCTGTCACTTCCCCTCACCTACAACCTTAATAACAAGCGAAGGAGATTGCAAGACCCATCACCAGCTGGTACAACTGGGGAGGGGCTGCAGTGGCCCAAAGGAGGGTCCGAGCAGCAGGAGGGATGGCTGCTGGCTGCCCCCCTTTCTCAGCAAGGAGCCTGCCAGCTCTCGTGGGGCTTCAGCTGAAAGCACAGCTTCATCTCTGCTGGAGCCACATCCCCCCGAGCCTGGCAGAGCACCCTGCCCGCCCTCCCACCGCCCC